AGGTGAGCTGGAGCTGAGAGTGACCTCAAAATTATAACCTGCATTCAATTAATATCCCCTTCTTGAAAAAATAAATTTCGATCTCAGTAATTATTTCAACGCAGTAGAATTAGCCAGCATGTAAAATGTTGTTGATACTCACTGGCAGCAAGTTTGATACAAGAGTGATTAAAGTAATCTATAAAAATTATGGCATGTCAAATTTGTTCAAATTCAAACGAATATGGTTATTAATTTAAATTTTAATTTATCTAAAAATTGAGCTATTTAGACTAAATAAATAGGTAATCAAACTAATAAATGGTGTTGATCAGGGCCCGAGTTACCGTAGGGGGTTCGATCGAACTTATGACTTTTTCGTAGATTTATATTTGTATTAAATTATATGTTTTTTGCGAAGACATAATAACACCGAAGCATTTGGCCCAGTGATCACTGCGCAACCAACAAACTTGTTTGTACGAAATATGTATTCGAATGAATCCCGATAGGTATCGTTGTTATTTTTATAAATTTAGAATCCACTAATATGAAAAAGAAAAGGTGATCCAAAGAAGCGAACTAAATAACTATTTTAATAAGAAGATGAGATCTAATCGGGCCAAAAATGTAAGTGATCAAAGAAAGTATAATGCATGTGCTATTTTTCCAAAACTTTTAAAGATGAAAATTGAAAGATTGGCTTAACTTTGTCTATGTGATTGCATACGCTTTTGCTTTAAGTTAGGTTTAAGGCAAGACATTCTCTCTCATAGTCACGAATCATTTTATATTATATTATAATATATGGCCTTTAACCCACCATCACTCTGAGTTGTTAGCTCACTTCACACTTTTACATATCCTATCAAACCTCCAATAAACAGAATACTTTTTCTCTCCTAGCCTCCCCTATCAAACACCTTATACCCACCTTAGGTGTTGTTTTGTGTCCTCTCAGACCTTCCTTTCTTGATATATGTTTAAATAAGATTATATTTTTAATTTGATTCATCTGAAAAATATAAGTATCTGTGTAAGGACTCCATTTCAATATCAATTTGCATTTATCTTGTTTCTTAAAAAACAAGAATAGTAAGAAATGAAATAAGTGAACGGAAATAGAAGAATGTAGTAAGAATCGAAAGAGGGAAGCTACCAAGTAAGGCATTTACTAGTTTTTATCTTCTTTTGTTCTCCTTTTTATGCTCTTTCTAAATGCCATGACGATATATTTGGAAAGTGATAATTTAATTGGAGAATGTCCAAATAATGTATCCTCGTCTTTTTCTTTTATACCAACTTATAATTATCAAAGTAACCAATTATTAAACAGCAATCCGTTGTAGTCTAGTTGGTTAGGATACTCGGCTCTCACCCGAGAGACCCGGGTTCAAGTCCCGGCAACGGAATAATTTTTTTTGATCCGATCAATTTTTGTTAGGCCTAAATAAGTAGTAACTATTAGTTTGATTTTTATCGGCCTAAATGTGATTTTTTTTTTGATCCGATCAAATTTTTTTGGCCTAAATATGTAGTAACTATTAGTTCGAATTTTATCGGCCTAAATATGAATTCATGATATTTTATTATGTAGCTTGTTTCTTTTCCTTGCTTTAATTTTGTAATTACTATTTTCTCCGTATTATATTAGTTAATACTTTTTTTTATTCTCATATTAAGAAATCATAAATAAAGTGATAATTTTACCAATTCTCCTTATAAGAACTTCTTTGAAACATTATAAACAATTGTGAACACTTTAAAAAGAAAGTGCAAGGATGATATAGAAAAAAAATCAATTAATGCTTTTTTAATTTAGTAAGACGATCAATTAAATATGAGATAATGGTTTTTAGTATAGTGATCAACTAATATGGGACATAAAAAACATTGATGAATTAATAACATATAATTGTGATATCGAAAAATTACTTGTTCTTGAATTTCAATTGTATTTAGTTGCAACAGGAGCATATTTTGCGTATATGATTAATTGATTATTGAAGTTCATTTATTTTTTGCCTGAAACTTTTACTTTATGGGGTTGAATTCAGTCATTTATATTTAAAGTTTATGCACATATAATTCAAGTTTTAAACCTTTTTTCTTTTCAAACATGAATCATATGCATTAGAAGTTATCCAAAATTAGATAAACCTGTGAATTTTACACGTCATGAATATGATGAATGACTCTCTGAAAAGTTCTCGTATTACATTCTTCTTTTGCATTTCACATAAAAAAGAATAAGTATGATTACAAATTTGAACTATTCGATCATCTAAGTAACAAAATATATAGATTGGGTAGACTTTCTACTAAATATCTATTTATAACATACATACAGATGACAATATTGATAAATTAGGTGGTCGGATTGTATATATCCATTTTTTTACCTTGTGAATGTGACTAAAATAATGATCTCTATGTAAGATCTAAAGTATTGTATATCTCGGCTTAATTAATTTGGATGAAAAATTATTTGAGTATCTTTTAATAAATAACTATTAATTTTAACCATAATTTTTATTTATTACTATTTATAGAAATATATACAATACTATGATTATGTATTAAAAGTCGAAGAAGCCCTAAATCCGCCTCTTACTTACCTACCTTCCCAGACTAGCTAAAGCATTCTTTGCATTAGTAGTTTTGGCATGATAGACTCATGAGATGTGACCTCATGATGGGTCGGTAGGAATGGCTCGTGATCGTGCATTCAATCAATTTCCCTTGGAAACGATGTTCAAGTTTTGCCGTAAATAAACAGATGAGTTCGATTCAAGCATCTGAATATCCAAGCTTGGAACGAGTATGAAGATATTAACGATACTTCTTTATCTTTTGAGTTGTTCTGCCGGATCGGTCGCTTAAGATCTTTGGTCTTTATCCGTGCCTGATGAAAAAAATGAGATCACTTCTTATGGACTCGTTGAGAATGATTCTGATCTAGTTCATGGCCTATTAGAAGTAGAGGGCGTCTTCTTTTTACCACGCGATAGGTCAGCGAAGCCTGAGCGGGCACGAAGAAGGAAAGGTCAAACACTTCGGCCTAACGAGAATGAGCAACGACGAAATGAGAAGTTGATGTGCCTCGGCACCCTCATTTAGAAAGAAGGGTCGAAGGTTTTGGGCCTGTAGCTTTCCCCGTCCCCCCTTCGTCGGGCGGTGCTTGTGTGGAAGGTGCGCCACCTGAAATCGGGCTTGAAGCTCTGTGTTTTATAAATGTATTATATAAGTATTTTAAATTACAGTATACTTGTTTGGTAAGAAATTAATACAATGTATTATAAGTACATTTAAAAATCTGATAAATATATTATTCATAAATAAATTTATACTATATGTGTTTTAGAAATTGTTTTGTGTAAAATTTATTTAAAAAATTAGATGAACTTTCGCATATAGTCACTCAAAAATAGCCTATTACGCTCCATAGATATAGTTTGTTAATTACAAGTAGTAGCTACATGTTATAGGGAGGAATGCGGGAGCGTGACTGTGAGAGGGATGAGAGCAAGCGAGAGGGCAGAGATTGGAAGATAAATGAATTGTATATGTATATCGTTTAGATAATTGTATATTATACATATATATTTGTATATTATGGCAAGGAAGATTAGGATAAAGGATAGAAGTGTTAAAATGGGTTGGCTCAACCCAACCCTAACGGGCTAGAGAGTTAAATGGGTTGGGGCGGGCTGACCCTTTTAATTAAAGGGCCAATAAAATAGCGGTCCAACCCAGCCCTAAGTGGGCCACGGATTGAAACGGGTTGGCCCTTCAACCAAAAAATGAACAATATTACTCTCTCAGAAAGAGTATCGAATGTTGGCGTCTATTAACACGACATCAATTCATAGAAAAATTCATTTATAAATCACACACTTTGATGAATACTTACAAAAATACATTTATGAATCACACACTTTGGTGTATCCTTACAAAAATCATAATAGCCAACTTAAGATTTAGCGGATAAATGTTGATCATTCCATCATTTCTCCAACAAAAAACTAGTTGGCTTAAAAGATTTCCAGCAACACAAGACAGCCTAAATACTTAGCAAATCTAAATTTCTAAATATTACATGACTCATTAATTAATGTTTTATAACTCCGCTTCTACTTTCACCATCAATCACATTTGAATTAACATGTGATATTATTTCCTTAAGAAGTCCATCTTCATCTACAATTCACCATTCAAGATGATATTGCAAAATACTTGATTTTTTATTTTTCAAAATATTTATCCATAAATCTTTACAAATAAAACACTATTAAAAATAAAAAATTAATAGCCCATGGGCTGGCCTCAGAGGCTTGCGGGTTGGGCCTACGAGGCCAATGGGCCAAATGAGGAAGGCTACAAAGCCTCATTAATAAATGTGTCAAAAATATTAAACCCAACTCCACTTATTTCAAGGGTTGGGTTGGTCGGCCTTGCGGGCCAAACCCATTTTGACGGCTCTAGATATGGAGGAGAGAAACAAGTAGAAATAAAAATAATTTGTATAATTCACATCTCGTTTGTATAATTCATAGGTACGCTCATATAATTCACATGTTTTTTATGATTGAGTAATATAAAATATGAAATTATACAAATATGATAAAACTCGAAATAACGAATTGATACAAATATATATGAGCTTTGAATAATTATACAAAATATATTATAAAAACAACAATATATAAATTATATTATACAAAATTCTGAAGCTACATGTTTATACAAACATTAAAAAGTTGTACACAAAAAGATTGAATGTATATGATGACAAAACTAAAAATCAAATGAAACCATTGTCAGATATAGATACAAATCATCATGTACAAATACAAATTCAACAAAAAATTGTTAATTATACAAATATAACGAATTATACATATATATATATATATATATATAGATATAGCTAATCAAAATCAGTTCATATAATTAATTACTAATATTAATCGCAAATAGTTAAATAATATAAATATGTGTAACCGCGTAATTTATAAACTAATAAGTGGGCTAAAATGAAGTATCGAAGCCCATCCAAAGGTGCATCTAAGAACCTCACATCTCGTACCCACCAACAGGTTTTGTCTTTCCATTTCCTTCATCACATCCAAAACTATGCGCCAAAGCCAAAAATCAGTGAAAAAATAGCCATGGAAACTCGAATTGGCAACTCCCTTAGCCTCCTTCTACGAGACCCCAATGACCTCAAAACTGACTTCAACTCCCTCTTCAACAATCTCAACACTTCCCTTTTTTCCACCCCAATTCTACATCACAAGAACCCCAAATCAACAAATCATCATTTCAGTCCCAATTTCAAGTTTTGTTCAACTTCTGTTTCAATTGAAGCACAAATCAAGAACCCCACTTCGAATTTTCTAAAACCTGCTACTAGGGACTCCTCAAAAGTTCAGGTTCTGTTCAAGAATCTTTCTGTTGTTGAAAGAGCGCTTATTGGTGCAGCTGGTGGTGGCATTGCTGGTGCATTCACGTATGTATGTCTTCTTCCTCTTGACACAATCAAAACTAAGCTTCAAACTAAAGGGGCATCGGAAATTTACAGTGGAGCTATTGATGCTTTTGTCAAGACTTTTCAAAGTAAGGGGATTCTTGGGTTTTACAGTGGTATTTCAGCTGTAATTGTTGGGTCTACTGCTTCTTCTGCTGTGTATTTTGGGACTTGTGAGTTTGGAAAGTCAATCTTGTCGAAATTTCCGCAATACCCATCTGTGCTTATCCCACCAACAGCTGGTGCAATGGGGAATATAGTATCATCTGCTATAATGGTGCCGAAGGAGTTGATTACTCAGAGAATGCAGGCTGGGGCTAAAGGGAGGTCTTGGCAGGTGTTAATGAGAATCTTGGAAAAAGATGGAATTTTGGGGTTGTATGCTGGATATAGTGCTACATTGTTGAGGAATTTGCCTGCTGGGGTTTTGAGTTATTCATCATTTGAGTACTTGAAAGCCGCAGTATTGAGTAATGTGAAGAAGGAACGTTTGGAGCCATTTCAGAGTGTTTGTTGTGGGGCATTGGCTGGTGCAATATCAGCTTCACTAACAACCCCTTTGGATGTGGTGAAGACTAGGTTGATGACTCAAGTTCATTCTGAAGCTGCCAATAAGGTTGGTGCTGTAATGGTTACTGGCGTCTCAGCTACTGTTAGACAGATATTGACGGAAGAAGGCTGGGTTGGATTTACGCGGGGAATGGGTCCTAGAGTACTTCATAGTGCTTGTTTTTCAGCTCTCGGGTACTTTGCATTTGAGACGGCTAGGCTTACAATTTTGGATCAGTATTTGAAGCATAAGGAGCTAGAGACTCTGGTTCCTGAGGAGGATGCAACCCAGGCCAACTAGAATGTATGAGTAATGGTTCTTACATCCAGCTGTTACAACCTTTTGTAAGTGCACTTCTTCCTTATTGTTTACAATCATATCTCTGTAGATTAATGTCTTCACAAGTTGCAACTTTTTGACCTTACAAGTTGGAGAAGAAGAATGTCTCTGGATTTGTTTGCTAATATTATTAGGCAGATATGTGTCGTTGCTCACCTCCTGCTTTTCTCTCTCTTATTCTGTTACTATATTACTACCTTATAGCTTAAATGATTTAAAATGTAGTTTGGTGAGCTCTGGTCGTAAGCAGCACGACTTTTACATATTGAATCTTATGTAATCCATTTATTGCAAAAATCAACTAAACAAAAACAAAACAACTGCTTGTCTTCTAATTATGTATGACACTTACGGTAATAGTCGTGTACTCTTATATATGCTTACCTGAATGCAAATGTGAGAACATCAATCTGCCGTTGAATAATTAATTTGAATTTGATGAAGTTGTACAAGAGAATGCCTTATTTTGGAGCTCCACATGTATAGATTGATAGACTACGGAAATGAACCATGAAAATGGAATAGATAGCAGCAGGGTAACACAATTGTAAATATGGATACGGATACTATTGGTTGGTTTTCTAGTTGTTAGAATGATTCTGTCTCATACTTCTTCATAAGAAACGAGAATTTCTCTGGTTGCAGTTTTTCTTTTTTATTTCTTTGCCTTCTTTTCATTGAGTGGAGCAGAAAGTGGCCCCACTGTTCATGTGACAGTGTTTTCTGGCGAGTTTTTGTAGCTAAGTCCTGTCTAGGAGGATTGTTATCCCGGTTGACCTTTGTGGCCGAAGTAGTATTATGCTTAATTGTCTTTACATACTCTATTGCCCTACTCTGCTATGTCTGATGCAGATAATAGTTTTATAGTGTAGTCAAGTCGCCTGAATGACATTTGAAATTTGTCTTTTTCGGTCATCACCAGTCCCTTAGAAGATCTCCTTTTTAACTTTGTTATTAGGCAGTAACTGTGGTGGTTTTATCCTGCATATCATACAACATCTTCAATCATGACATGGAATGCACAAACTTCCTCCAAAAGCAGCAGGTACTGAGCATCCCTTTAAGCAACCATCTAATGAGCATGTTTATAGCTGATCAATAGGGAAAAAAAGTGGGGAAAAGGGAACTGCTAATGCCACCTGAGAAAAATGTCTTGAAATCCATTTAAGTATGTTATTCAGGAGATCCTCCTCCACGTCGTTATTTATTACTTTCCAGAATCTCCTGCTTGTATAATTTGGTTTTCTTAGCTCAGGGTTGTACTTCTTTTTATTTTTTATTTTTATGAGGGTAGTGTTCGGGCCAACTTACGTGCACCTCAATGATTCCATCGGGTACTTGCTGCCTCACACCAGCACATGTACTGGATAACTATGCCTCCAAATCTTGGGGTAAATGATATGTTGAAAATTGCACAAGAAAAGCTATGGCTGGTTTTACGAATGAAAGTTTTAATTTCCCCAGCCTCTATTAACATATTCAACAACAATAAACTCAGTGAAATCCCACAAAGTGGGGTCTGAGGAGGATAGAGTGTGAGACTGTTTCCAAATGAACCTCAGCTCAAGTCAGTTCACATTAACTAAACCAAAAATAGTTTGTATATAAACTGACAAGGTCCTTTTACAAAGTAAAAATCACTGGCTAAAGATTGCTCACTAAGTTTGAATCACACTCTGATCTCCTGGGAGGATCATTTGACCCTTGCCTGTGCCACCAGGCGCCCTTTTCACAACAGAATCACTGGCGTAGATTATATTTATCTTGAAAAAATACCAATTCCAAGTCAAAAACCTATTATTCGTTAACAAGGTCAATAGGCACCTAGTTTACTCCTAAACATCTGAAACTCGCTATCTCAAAAATTTTAAATGTTATACGAATAATCCTAAGCTTTCTGTCTATTACACTGGATATCTGCATCTTCCCATCGGTGCAGGTACGTTGTAACTTCGTCCGCTATGTATTAGGCAAATGAGAAGGAATCACTTACTTTTCTCATTTTCTGCCTCTCTCTAGAATTTCAATACATAACATTTTCAAGTTCTCCTTAACCCCAGCCTAACTCTCAGCTACATTTAACCTTTAACTCCACGAGTGAATAGGAACTAGACATATAATGTTTCAAGCAACTAACAAACCAAAATCTCACTAGCTCCACAAAATAGATGTTGCAACAAATTAACTCTTACAATCTACTATTCAAACCTATTATTGGTTATGATTTTTTCCGATGAAGTGTTACGATAAGTTGTGAATCATGATAACTTGGACATAAAATAAAGTAAAGATTATAGCTCTTGAAAGAGGTACCTTGATGCTCCTTTGACACAAGATAATCTTATGAGTAGGAAGTTTCATTTAGCTAACAGATGCTACATGTGCTCATGCAACCCATAATCTATCAATCACCTGTTTCTTCATTGCATTGTTGCCACAGATCTTTGGAACATGTTCTTTTCTCTCTTTGGTATGACTTGGGCCATGCCAGACACTTTGAGAGAGGCTTTTGTGTGTTGGAGTTCCTGGAAAGTAGGGACGTCCATCAAAGAGATCTGGTTTTTGGTTCCCGCTGGTACTTTTGTGGTGTTTATGGATAGAGAGGAACAAAAGATGTTTTGATGGCATCCCAACTCCCATTTCCTCTCTTAAAGCGAGTTGTTTGATTAGTCTTTTTAGTTGGGTGAACCACTCCTCTGTAATTACTGTTGATTCTTTCCTAGAATTTATTAGCTCCATAGATGTATGTTGATAGTTGTGATAGCTTTTTTGCCTTCTTGATGCTTTTTCCTAATGATATCCTTATTTCATCAAAAAAAAAATAAAAAAAATCAAAATGAAGCATAACCTTACATTAACACTCATGCATCAATCCTTGAACTAGATTACGAGGGTATCAGGTGCTACCTTTTCCCATCTAACATGGTTCGTTTTCTCTTTAACCATTGATCCCCCTCCCCTCTCCCCTGGGGACTTTCATTTTAGACATGTAGACATCTCAAATTACCTTATAATTTATTATGTGGATTGTGGAAGCACATCATTTTCTGGTTGGCGTACTACATCTTCACCTTAGTGCTTTCATTTAAATAAAAATTTTGTCTTACTCAAAAAGATGCAAAAATGCATCTTTGCGCATTTGTTCTTGGAATTCTGCATATATTTGCTGGATTTTTGTTTATTCATTTTACAGTTAGACTTGGGCCACTTGGCAATTCAATTTGGTCCCTGAGACTGTCAGGAAAACATAATAATGTGGATTGTATGCTTTCATATTTATCAACTTTGGAGTACATTTTCTGAGAAATGGGAATGGGATAGCCAATATTTCTTCAAATTGTTAAGGATTGAAGATTGGATCTTTGTTCATTGTTGCAAACCAAACAGGTCATTAATGGCTTAACCCGCTTGTGAGATATTGCATCCACAGCCTTTTGCTAACTGTTACATAATTGGCCCAATTTTGATATTGAGTCATTAACTTGTATTAGAAACACTTGTTCCTTGAAATTGAAGTTGATTGGGTCTATGATCTGATATCACCTATTGGTTGTGTGTATTTTTACCATTGATCATCTCGATACCAGTTTCTGTTTTAGAAAGGAGGGAGTGGGGTAGGGGGTGGGGGGATTTAGCGTAATTAACTCTATATATTAGTTAAATACCACTAAATGTAATGATTATGTTAGCATTATAGTTCATACAGGTAGTAACTGCAGAAATGTCCCCTAGTGCATATATTCATTTTTCAGTTAATATACTAATCAAATAACTCTTATTCAAAAAAACACTGCTCAAATACCTGAAAGGATCACAGCATACTAGGCAATGATTATCAGCAAATAACCATAGAAAGATATATTTCAAGTACTTGGGGCCTATAAACTTCTTTATGTTTCCTTTTTTTTTCTTACTTGTGAAGCCTACTACAACCATCTTGTGAGTTGTGACCTATACTTCTCAATCAAAACTAATAATCATGGGAGCTTTTATTCAAGAGAAATTAGTTTAACTGAAATTCATGTCCAAATTTCTCATATCAACTTCAGACAAAAATGATCAAAATACGTTGACAGTCATCTATATTGTACATTTAGATGCATGCTTTCCCCCCTAAAAATTGTGCTGGTGGGTGAAAGATAAGTTACTTTTTTGACTTAACAATTCAAGTACTAATGTTTTCAAGTCTTCAATTTTGAAAATATGTAAGTGACATTGGATTTGATAAATGGATGAAATAATTGGTGGTTGTGGTTTTTCACAAACGATATTTCCACCTTGTTTTATGCATTAAGCAGATTTTCAAAGATCACATCTTGTTATAAGTAAATAGGTAAAAGAGTTTCTGTTGGGATATAGACATACACTTTCTTCAGGTTTTTAGCAGCATAGTTCTATGAGTTCTGTAGTACCATATCCGCCAAATAGCCGTCAACTCTAGAGTTCTATTAGTTTCGTTTTTAGTTTATTTCCTTCTCTTGAAGCTTCTGCCGCTTTTGGTTTTGCCAGCATACAGTTTTTGTTTTGATCTATTTATTTCATTAAGGGGGGTCACAATATGAAGAAGAATGCACACAAAGAAGTCCAAGGGTTTCACCATTTACTATTTATATACATTAAAAAAACAATTAACTAATCATATACAAACAGTGTAATTTTCTGTTGAAGGGGGTTCAGACTCCTCGGCCCTACCTAGCTCCACCCCTGTCTTTGAGGTTTTATGTCAAATGAAATCGCCATATTGATTCTGAAGAGAAGTTTTATATCCTACCTTGTAATGATACTAAGCCAAGAGAATTGGGCAAACTTGGATAGGAACATATTTTGTGCATGACACTGAAAGATTATTGTCCTGCCAAGCCACTTCCTTTTAATTGAGCCTTCTTCTCCTCGTCTAGACAGCCTTATAGTTAGAAATGTTATGTTGTCGAGTTCGAGTATCAATCATGCTATAATGAAAGAAGTTCAATGGATTGTTCAGCCAAAAAATGTGAAGAGTTGCATCCTGAACCAATAAAAGCTCTTTATACTGTGTCTTCTGTCATGATTATGTGTGTTTACTTTTCAATTAGCAGAAAAGAAAGAAGCTGCTTTCTTTGTAGCTGTGCCTTCTATTGAGATATGCAATTATTTTAACCAGTTCTACAGTATATTTTAGTTGGTTCTTCTACTGATCTGTTGACCCTTTTTTCTTTCTGTTGTAGATGCATTGAACGAAGCAGTAGCCCTGTTCGGGACTTCTCTCTTCAGTTCCCATGCCTGTCATCGGCAGCAAGAATCCTACCTTGTAATTCCTGTAACTAGTTCAGAGACATAGCCATTTTACGTCAATGAATAGTATACAATAAATAATCATATCGGAAAGAGTATCTTTCCCTAGGTAAAAGCTCATAGTTGTGCTCCCTCCTTGGACTAAATTTTCATCTTTAGAAAAGCTTCCATGCTGATTGTATTTAAGTCAAGAAAAAAGGCTTGTTTGTTGCTCCAAAATACCAACATTTTCAGTAGTTCCATCGATGAAGAATTTTTGTGTGTCACACCTGAACAAGTGATGCTCTTACAAGCAGCTACCTTCTTCTGTCAATTCAACAATGACTTTCTTGGAGTGTGTTGAATCATTTTGGTTTTGGTGTCACTAGTATATACCTCGTGGAATTAGCCACAAATGTTTGCTTCAGAATTTGATGCATCATTTGAATTTTTACACTCTTCATGTAAGTAGTCAGAGTTGAATCGTGATAATTTTTAGTTGAGTTGTTGCATGTAGATGATAGACATTTCAATTCAATTTTTGGTTGAGTTGTTGCATGTAGATGATAGACATTTCAATTCAATCTCTTTACATTGTTATGATTTTTCCTGTATGAAGCTGCATCCCAAATTTCTTGTATAATTTGATACGTGAGCTCTTCTTCTTTTTTTTTTTTTTTTTTTTGTGATACATTAAAATTGGAAAAAATCTTAGGCAACGCCGTCAAAGTATAGTTTGATCTAAACACGTCTTTCACAAAAGAGTATACCCACATTTTCTATTATATAGAAGAGTAAAGTCTAGGACGATTAAGGGCATTTTTGTCATTTTAGTAAAATTACCAGTTAAAATAGTTATACCGTGTGCCTCTCAAGTATGAATTTCTCAAATACCCAATCAAATGATGCTACGTGTACTTCTTGTCATAAAAAGCAGTATAAATATCATAAGTAATCATATTATCTAAAAATGGTGGAACCACTTTTTGAATCAAATTATATTACATTAACACCTTTACTTTTTGCACGAAAATAAATATAAAAAGAAATAAAAATGATTTTTAAATGTATTAAATATTGAAATGAAAATAAAAGTAATTTAATTAGGTAGCATAAAAACAAAAACTAATAAATAAAATGGATAGATAAATAAAATGAAACTTAAGTAAATTAAGAGACTCACTAAATTTTAAATAAATATTTTTAAAATTTTCGAATCAAATATTCAATAGAAATATTAAATATTTTTTGTGTTCAATTTACGTACACTAACGATAGGAATTTTTTTATAATAGATTATTTGAAGTTTTAAAATTAATCATATTAATATTTAGTCAATTATAGTAGATTGTTTCCTTTATTTACTTAATATTATTATTCTTTGATCTAAAATAAGAAGTTAAGAATCGAAATACATGAAAATCAATACATTAATTACGGTAATTTAAGTATATTACTATTTAGAAAGAGATAACAAAAATAGCAAATGTCTAATAGTAATTTTAAAAATTATGAATAAATTTGAAATAAGATAAATATATATGGGCAAGGAAATCACTATGATATATAATATGAAAATATCATGTTAATTTAACGTTTAATTCTAATTATATTATCTTATAAGTTATTGTGCATGGAAAAATAGAACCAAAAACACATTATACCATGCTAAAAAAATTATGTTCATTAAGATAAATTATATATACAGTACATATATAGAACTTCATGTGATAATGAACCTACATATTAGTTCTAATTTTAATTTGTTAACTTCATGTGATAATGAAACATGCATGTTAGTTCTAATTTTAATTTGTGTTTGTTTTATTTTAATTTGGTATGAAGTTTAAGAAATTAAGAAAGAGTTTTTAATTTAATAATTTTAAACTAAAAATATGTGAATATACTAAACGTTTTTTAAGCTTGTGATCTTAGATATGCTATGTGGAGTTAAAACTAAGGAAAAAAAAATGAACATTATTTTTTCACAAATTATAAAGAAAATATGAATAATTAATCGAAATGAATAGGATAAATTTCAAAATGATATATAATGATTCATGATTTTTATATAAGACAATATTCAAGCTAATAATCAAATTAACTTCGAATCCTAATAAATTTTCATCATAGTATAAAATAAATAAATTAAATATTAGACTTGAGTGTTCTACAACTTAAAAATTGAATCTACCCATTGTTAATACCAATTATGCTTAAAAGCTTTTTGGGTTAATTTAATATTTTTTATCCAGTGTTTGATATTCATATTAGAGTTCGATTAATTCTAATTCTAATGTGCGCCGAAATAGGGCCTATTCGGATATGGTGCTCCTTATCAAAATAATTATATTCAAAACTCAAAAATATTTAATAAGAAACGAAGAACACTATTCAATGCAGTGATGCACTACATGAAATCACTACAGTCATTATTTTCTTATACTAATTCTTCTTTATCGAAAATTAGGATCAATGTTAATTAATGTTGATCAGAATGCTATAAAAATATCTTTTAATATTTGTTAAATAATGATTAATAATCGATTATGTTAGGCCCATATCACGGGCCTTTAAGAATCTAGTGTGTAATACATAAGGTTGTGGAAGTAGTTTTCAAAGGAAACTTAGGTAAATATATGATATGTATATCCTTCAGCCATCTAGTGTAGGCATTTTGTAAACTAGATGATTCGAAGACAATTTTTCCAATTTTTTTAAATTGAATAGTCAACAATTAAATAAAAGTAACTTTCACATATAGCAAACACAAAAATCATATTAGTATGTTATAACTATAATTTGTATAATTGTGCTCCATAACAAACATAAATATGTATATTTCGTTATACAGATACAAATGAAAGTTATCGTTATTTCGCTATATATATATATACACAAAAGAAGCAATTGTATAATCTGTTTCGGCATACATATACAAAAGAATTAGTTGTATAATATGTTTTGTATAAAGAGAGAAAGACAAAAGAAAACTGGGCAGGAGAAGATCGTATTTGTATAATCACAAGTGTAAAGGACGAAATTATATGCATTTGTATTTGTATATACAATATTCTCTCGCTCTATATAAATATAAACACGATGTATACATTTGTGTATGTATAAAGTGAGAGAGGCGAGCGAGATCTGGCAGAGGGGAGGCAGGGGACGAAAATGTACGTATATATACAATTTTCTCTCGCTTTATACAAACACAAACACATTTTATATAGGATAATTGTATAGAATGACAAACTAGTAATGTAAAATAAATACAGTAGCTATCGTTTGATTTATTTGTGTTCCATAGCAAATTGTTTGACAATTCCTCTCTCCCTCATATTCTCGCTCGCCATTCTCCCTCTCTCACTTGCTTCCTGTCGCTCACCTCTAGCTTTATACAATAGAATTGTATAAATTGTGTGTCTATTTGTATTAAGCGAGAGAAAATTGTATATACACATGCAAATACACATACATCTGCCCTATACACTTATAATTATACAATACAAATATTTCCCTGTCCAGTCTCTTTTGCCTTTCTCTCTTTCTCGTTTTATACAAATTCAAATTGTATATATTTCTCTCTTCCTCGTTTTATACAATTCGATTCAATTGTATATTCCCTGCCCAAGTCTCTTTTGTCTTTCTCATTCTCATTTTAACAAATTTAAATTGTATATAATTACTATCTTTCTTGTTTTATACAATTCGGTTCAATTGTATATGTATAGCGAATTATACATACATACATACATACATATATATATATATTCTCATTTTACATGAATTTTGTGTTTGCTATATGTGAAAGTTGTCCTTATTAGGAAAAATTGTATATAATAACAAACTATTAACTCAAATTAAATGCTATAAACATACTTTGATTTAATTGTACCCTATAGCAAACTATAGTTATTTCCGTCACTCTCCTTGGTGGAATCTCGCTCGCCACTCTCGTTTGGTGGTAGTCTCGCTCGCCTCTCTCGCTTTCTATACAAACACAAATGTATAAAATGTGTTTGTGTTTGTATAAAGTGACAGGAGATTGTATAAATACATGTATTTTCGTTCCCTCTCTCCTCTCCCAGATCCCGCTCGCCACTCTCCCTAATCTCGCTTGTCACCGTCACCTCTCTCGCTTATACAAACAGAAACGAAAAGTATATATTGCATTTATGTTTGTATAAAGTGAGAGAAGATTGTATATACACATGCAAATACATATATTTTGTCCTATACACTTATAATTATACAATAAAAATACTCCCCTGCCCAGTTTCTTTTGCCTTTCTCTCTTTCTCTTTTTTTACAAATTCAAAATGTATATAATTTCTCTCTTTCTCGTTTTATACTATTCGATTTCATTGTATATTCCCTACCCAAGTCTCTTTTGCCTTTCTCTCTTTCTCATTTTATACAAATTCAAATTGTATATAAGCGTCCTATACACTTATAATTATACAATACAAATATTTCTCTATCCAAGTCTCTTTTGCCTTTCTTCTTTCTCGTTTTATACAAATTCAAATTATATAATTTCTCTCTTTCTCGTTTTATACCGTTCGTTTTGTACAATTAGCTTCAATTGTATATGTCTAGCGAAATTATACATATATATATTTGTTATGAAATATAATTATACAAACTTTGCTATAACATACAAATATGTAGTTGCCCTTTGTTATTATATATAATTTTCCATTAAAAGGAGTAAAAGAAGTAACCAAAGGATACTTAAAGCCCAGTCCAGTTGCACTCTAACAATCTCGAGCCGACCCGACCCGAATTAACCTAAGTAACTATACTAACCACTCCATCGTCTCCCGCTCAATTGATGCAAACAGCAAAGCTCTCTGTTTCTGCAATTCTGCAAAACCCACCAAAAATCCAACCAATAAACGAAGATCCAGCCAATATCTGCAGAAACCCAACAAAATCCAGATATCAAACTCAGAAAATATTCAGAATTCATCATCAAGATGCGTTTTTGTTTGCAAAATCTCATAAGGGTCACTCTGTTCTTCATCTTCACCATAAATTCACCTTCCCTTTCAGTTCCTTTCTTGCCTATAAACAATGTAACTCTTTATGGTGACGCTTCATTCACCGCAAAATCGATCACCCTTACCCAAGACCGCAACTGTTCGTCATCATCAACACCTCCCATTTCCGGCATTGGAAGAGCTTTCTACACATACCCAGTTCGTTTTCTTGATTCTTTAACCAATAACACTGCTTCTTTCTTGTGTACTTTCTCTTTTACTATACTTCCAACCCCTTCTTGCCCTTTTGGTGATGGCATGGCGTTTTTGGTCACTTCTGATGTTGATTCTTTGAGCATCTCTGATGGGT